CTCCCTTGTCTTTGCCGGTAATAGTATCTGCCTAGGCTACTAGCTGTTAGGACCTCTGCGGGGCTCAAGGCAGAGCGGAACAGATGAGTCCCGTTAGCGGTTGGGTGAACGTTCATCAATGAGTTTTTCCAAACTTAGGACCACTCTAAAGATTGCACGATTCGTGATATCCTTGCACAGTGAGCCAGTCAGTACTTTTCGAAAGCTCTTACAACGAAGGGGTTCTGTAGGCCTCTCAATGGCTTTGTGATTGCGGGTGCATAACTTTTTCACGGGACTCCACAAATACCTATCCCCGGAATTTCGTCTTCCAGGACTGGATTACGACAACCTGTCCTTACAGCGCTTGGACCAAATGCGCGCGCGCTTTTAAAAATAAACAAGTATAGACGTGTGGTGGTGATCCGAGTTGCGGTTTGACGCACCACTCCTGACAGTATTTTTTCACACACACAGAGTAACAGTACGGAGGTCACTTGACATGATAAAAACCACACCTGAGCCTGGTCTTATGAAGACCATTTGGTAAACCTGCGTCCCCCCTCCCCCCTATCCCGAGCATTTTTCACGTACTGGCGATGCCCAAGGGAGGCTGAGAGGCGGTTCATTTTAAGGCGCCTCACAGCGTGCTTATGAAGTGGCTGGTTGAAGTGGCTTCTCAAAATCTGGCTCAGTGCATTTACTGGTGGCTTTAGCCATTTTTTGTTGGCGCCAAGAGTATCCTTGTGCACAATTGGCTGCCTCTTATGGAGCCAGCCAGATTGAGAAAATCATAAAGTTGAACTGATAAGTTGAAAAGTCTATTTGGAAAACGTTTATTTTCGTGGCAAACCATCACCGGACCTGTAGAATTGAATTGCTAATTAAAATAGGAGAGTTGGACGGGAAGGGGGTAAAGACCTGTAGTGACTAGCTCCACACGAAGTACACTTGTGAGCGCTTGTCGTGACTAGCTCAAGTCGAAGTGCACTTTGGGAACGCTCTTTGTTTCTGGCCTCTGTAGAAACCAATCACAGACCGACTCACACAGGAGCTCGTGTGAGGACTGCCCAGCAGACATCACTTCAGACGCCGTCCACTGGCTTGCGTTTGTGTGATCGTCTGATAGTCAAATT